TGTAGAAAAAATAGGGGGTGCCTATTTAAAATAACAAAGTTGATGGATACTTCCGGTATTTGCGGAAGTGGCGCCACCTTAAAAATATTTTAGTTCAATTCATCATGTGGCAAAACCCTTAAAGGACTTATCAGTTTAGTTTCATTTTCAAAGGTTCTCCATATCTTTCTAACTAACGCTCGTCAAGAATGACCCTGTATAATCTGCATGCAAAGAATTGTGACACAAAGCTAATGCTTCAAACCTGATTCCTGAAAGATTCATCCGCTACACCTGACTGTTCCCTTTCGTATCGCTAGTTATGCAACTATCGTCAATATTTCGCGATTCCTTGATATATCCTGCTTAACTACATTTGCCCTGCAGGTAAGTTACATTAGGAATCCCGCTAACCCGTATTATTATTATTATTTTATTATGGTGTCCGATGAAAATATGTGGACTCTTTCATTTGGTCAATCATAAAATTAATAGGTAAGCACGGTGCCATGTAGGTTTTCGAAATACAATAATGCCTTCTATTCAAATAACTGCAATTTTTGTTTGAAATGAATTTGAATTAACAAACAGAAGTGGGATTATCAATTTTACATGCTCCCCTTTATTCGTAAAAAAATTTGCACCATTCGTAGGCATCCGTGCGCAACGAAGCGTTTTCTATGTGTCCACAGGTATTCGTGGTAGTAATTCTCCTCGATTTATAAATTTCCTTCCCTAGTATTACCTCAATGTAAATTCCGCCCGTTGATTTTGTGATTGTCATTCCACAATCATCGCCACCGCCATTAATGCAAATTTGATTACTCTGCCCTGATTGTTATAAATGAACCCCCCAAGTAATTAAGGTGATTAGATGTCCTAATTGATAAACCACTGGAAGACGGCAATTTGATTGTGAAGACCTCTCTATCTCTCTTATAATTGAATGCAGCTTGACAATTGCCCAAGATCAGGTTACAGAATAGGTACCTACAGACGAACGTACCTTGTTTAGTACATTTACTCTACGCGTTTTGCGTGCTTGTTTTTTGCTCGCATATCAAATACTACAAAATTTGAAAATCGACTGACAATGGCAAAGGAGGAATTCTTATAACAGCGATACAAACCGGCACAAATGTAGCACTAATCAATCCGCCTATTTATAGTCCCGAAATGTGTGCTTACAAACCTACAAACGTCCAAACGTTATATTTTGCCGGCAAACGTTTTACGGCACAAACGTAATTTGTCATTTGTGTAATTTGTGCCGGGAATGTTCTGGTAACTTCACGAACCCATCAGATTGGCGAAGTTGTTCGAATTATTCAGATTGAGGACAATGAACACCCCTCAGTAACCTCTTTGAAGGATCCTGCTCTCAAGGCACTACTTGCTTTTTAGCGCTTTTTTAAGAATTAAAAAAAATGTGCTATTGTTTGCGTTTTGTCCGTCCGTCCGTCCGGACCCACTTCTACCGTTTTGAACTACTTCTAGGGGAATGGTCCTAGAGTCCTGGAATTTTTTGCAGTAGGTAACCTATACCTTGAAGGTGTGTCAGACGGCCATTAAATTTCGCTGGCTAAAAGCCCCCCCCCCC